TTAGTTCATATGATTGGTCTTTGGCGGTAACGCACCTAGTATAATGAGATACAGGATGGTTGTATGGCTGCTATTGAGTGTTATGGGTTACTTCAGTATCAAAAGGAAGTCATTCTTGGAGAAATTTGTATTGCAGATGAAGTTTTTTAAAGCGGGATTGAATATTGGGTGCTGCAGTTAATATTTAGACCTACGAAAGGGGAAATATTAAGTGATGAGTGTCATTGTGTTCAAGCACTTGTTGCGCTATGTAAGATGATGTCAGTCCAAGTGGCAGTAGGCCTTACTGCTCTCATATTTTCTTTAAAATACAAACTTGGTATTTGTTTTAATACCGTATCCTTTGAAACCTAACCTCAATTTTGGGGTTCCAAACATATAGAAGTTTTATTGCAGCAAGATATAACCGTGCCCCTTGCTATGTTCTTTAGTATGTTCTCAGTGTAATTTTGGTTCAACAGTAATGTTGATTGATGTCCAGAAAGGAATATTTTTGCATCTGGATATGTAATAATGTTCTGTTATGATTGAAGGGCAGTATTTATGAAATTGTGATAAAGTAACCAGTTACAAGCTTTCATTAATTATTCTGTATGTAAAATATGTCAAGAAAGTAAAGCAGACTAGCCCAGCTACTCGTTATGAATGTGCTTGAGGGGCGAGGAGGTTTAGCTCTTACTCATTCATGGCTTCGACACTAGATGGGGCGAGTGGTTAGTGTTATACAGTGGCTCCACTTTACCCTGGGGAAAGGCTCCCTGGTATCCATTGGATAAGAGGCTGAGTGGTCTCCAGAGCTGGTGTGGACACTTAGGCTTGAGAAAAGTCCTTAATATTTATTTGGTTATTTAAGTCTGTAGTCAGACGCCACTACTGAGATATCCTAGCTCATGTTTTGAGAAAGCAATAATTGTGTTGAGCTTTTTGTTCAAAAGACATTGGCTGCTGTTAGATCAGATACCCTTATTGCTTAATTTATTTGTTTTTCTGTGTTTAACATAAATTATAGTATGTTGAAATCATGCAAGTTTGTAGGTGTGCTGACTTCGGTGATTTCGTATTTCACAGCAGAGGACTAAATTAAATTTCGTATGTTTACAGTTATGAGCCTGAACTTTTTCCGGGTTTGATTTATCGCATGGTGAAACCAAGGGTGGTGCTTTTGATATTTGTCAATGGCAAGTTGGTGATGACAGGTACGTATTCACTAGATCAGTGGTATTCAACCTGGGGTACGCGTACCCCCTAGGAGGTATGTGAAATTTAAAAAAAATACATATTATTTTATGATAAACACTGAATAATCAGTAATTTAATTTATTTTAGATGTAGATTATATACTATGTATAACTTGAATTATACACCAACAAATTTGGGGGTACAAAGTTGAAGAGAAATTATATCTGGGGGTACGCGAACAAAAAAGGTTGAATACCACTGACCTAGATGAATGAACTACTGAGACTATTAACAAACTAAAAGAAGTTCATTAGTCAAATTCCTGCTTCTTTCTTATTTCAGGAGCGAGGACACGGGAAGACTTGCAGGAAGCTCTCGACAATATTTATCCCATATTAAAAAGCTTCAAGAAGCAATGAAGAGCAATAGTTACGCACAATGATCTGTGTGCCCGTGGCCTCTTTTCCGAGCGGTTCTTTGGCCAGTGCAAATGAACTTGACACCGCCCCCATATTTCTTCATTGACGCCATTCTTAAGCCTATTGACAGCTTTGCTGTTATCTTCAGGAAAGCAAATTATTTGTTTTGTACGGTGAAATGCGCATGTACGTTTTATTTAGGGAACAGTGAATTTTGATGCTAAACTGAGGAATATCTTAGCTGTAGGAAGTTTTATGCACGTTGATTTGGATTATTGAAATGGTGCCAAAGATTGAACTTTGAATGGGGAGTTTGGTTTGCTCATAGTGTGTTGCTGGTCCAAGAACCTTAAATACTTTTTGAGGTTGTTTTTAAAATTACCTTTTGTATAGAACACTTTCATTTTGCCTACTTACATTAAATGATAAAGTGATAATACAGTTTCGCTTTGACCATTGTGTCATTGTAATGGTAACTGACATTGTATTAAGTTTTTGTACAATATATCAATGTATGTATGGATTATAATATATAATTTCTCAGTATATTTTAAATTTTTTGTAAATATATTTTAAATGTATCATATGCAAGGGTGGAGCAGCCCAGCTAACGCTTTGAAAAATTAAGTGTAAAGTTGTACTTTCACGATCCAGTGCCACTCCATGCACTGGTTCACGGCAGAACTGATCAGATGCAGTTCATCTTCAGCCGGCTATAACCAGGCATTGTTATTATTAAACAGTTTGTTCAGGCTTATTTATTTGTGACCTTCGCTGTCCATTTGCACAGGTGCTGATAGAAGAGAAATGGTGTAAAGAATTCAAAATTATTACATCTCACTTGGTTTTATTATTATGTAGACATCCTTTGAAAATTGCATATCCTAACTAAGAAGTTCTCAGATTTTTATCTCATTTAAAGAAACTTACAGAGTTGATGATCGTAAATGTGTTGAAATGTCAGGTGAGGGGTTCGATCCCCACTTTGGGCAAGAATTTTTCTCTTTGTCACTACATTAGACCAGCTGTGGAATCCAGTCATCTGTCTGATTTTCACTGTATACGGTTTCCTCTGGGATAAGGCTCTCGGAGCACGAAGCTCACCACCGCGCTGTCTAGTGTCAGGGTTAGGAACAAGTGGAACGCTACCTACATATTTTCATATATCTTCATGGCATGCAGCTTAAACCGTGGGACATTGTTACCTTTGTAGGATTCCGATGAACAATTACAAGAAATTTGGCAGTAAACAGTCCAAATGGTAGTCGAAGGGGTGAAAGTTGTGTGCGTTCCTGAAATGGGGTTACAGGAGCCAGGCAGATACTGTGGAACTCCATTTCGATTTATGTGATTGCCAAAGGAATGTTTTTAAAGCCGGCGACAGTTCTTTTGGTCCGGGTAGTGGCGTCGACTGCAGAATATGTATCGGGTAGGCGAACAGTGTGAGAATGGCGCCTACTTGTCGGACGTCATTGGCGTAAGGGATGCTCCGGAGTACGGAGATAGACATCGATAAAAAAACGAAGTTGAATGCCCTCTGTTTGTTTGCTTCCTTTCTTGCTATTTCCGAGTTCGATAATATCACCGTGCACCGCGTTCAGCGTCTTATGTGAAGGCGTATTACAGTCAAAGATGAGAAAACTTTTCAAATTGATTACGTTCATGTCTGACGCGGAATTTATTCAGACGCCCGACAGACATACGGGCCTATTAACCCTTTCAAGCCGTCTAAATAATATTTAAGAATCCAGTCCGTACCGAAAAGAAAACAACTGTTCACCATTACAAATATCAACTGATTAATGCTGTTTAAAGAAATAATAGTTGTTTATTATGAGAATCAAATACACATTAAGAGCAGAGTTTTTGATTGTTAAAGCAGGTGGGACGTATAGTTACCACTGAGCTTTTAGTGTTAATGTCTTTCACGACTTCGATAAGAAAGGTACATGAGACGGTCAGTAAAGGAACTCGAAAATGTAACGCAGTGAATCAAAACGGCGCGTTGACGATTCGTAAATATTGCGTTTTATAAACAAAAAACAATTAAAATTTCCAATACGTAACCAGAATATTTGTAATAAAACGGAATTCTTTCTAATATTTGAATGCCTGGCAGTACAGTGAAATCTCTTTTTTATTATAAATATTTGCATTGAAATAGCAACATGAACAGCTGGAATTTTAACTCTCAGCTTCGAAACAATACGCTTTTCAAACAAGAATGGAGAAATTGCATTCTGAAATCATTGTTCTTTGAGGCTTTTCATTCCGTGTTCCGTATTGGGATTTACCGTAGCGTTAATTTATTACGGAATTAATTTTATTGTAAATATTTGTCAAATTGAAAATTACTTCATATGAAAATTGTAGATCATAAAGACATCTAATATATTTTATCCCATGTAATATTCTTTATGATGTGCCATGTTTATGTTTTTGGTAACTATAAAATTATGTGTTTGATTCATGTAACGTAGTTTCGGATCGGAATAATGCTCCCTTACAGACATTGTAACAAACTCATTGTGTATTTTATGTTTTCAGATCTGAACTCGGGGCTGGCCATGTTATTCATTACATTTTTGCCCGTGTCTTTTCTGATGGCGCTAGTATAGTAAGTACAAAGTCTTCCATTCTTAACGCGTCTCCACTTATGAAACAACAAATGCTAGATTGTTGTGACTGAAGACGGTATATTGTGCCATGTAATCTGGTAGATGTAACCGACGTTTTGTATGTTTACTGCCTCCATCATCAGGACGATCGCCCAGACTACACGTCGCATATTTACCAGGTGATTCAAAAAGGACTTTACAACTTTGAAAGTGTATAGAAATTTATTCAGAAGGCTTACAGAATAGGTTGAGGTGTCATTTTGTAGCAAAACAAATCAAGTTTGACTCACATTGTGCTGTAGTTCCGAATTCCGTCACTGCGAGCGCAAGCGGCAGTGCATTTGAAAATGGCTCGAAAATTTTACTCATGCCACAGTTAGACGAAGATGACCAAAAAGGACGCATTCACTTCCAGCAAGACGGCGCACCACCTCACTACCTCAGTAGTTCGGGATTTCCTCAATAACCGTTTCCCAGGTCGGTGGATTGGTCGAACAGGGTCGATAGCATGGCCACCTCGTTCTCCAGATTTGACACCTCTCGATTTTTTCTTATGGGGTTTCATTAAAGATCGTGTGTATGTTTAAAACTTGATTTGTTTTGCTACAAAATACCACCTCAACGGATTCTGTAAGCCTTCTGAATAAATTTCTATACACTTTCAAAGTTGTAAAGTCCTTTTTGAATCACCCTGTATATTCTTTGGCGTGATTACTTGAAATGTCACACAATAATTGTGATTCTTGGCTCACTGGCTGCACGCACTGCGATAGAGTGTGTTGTCAGTTGTGTTTTGTGTTCTTAACCTCAATATATTTGTTCGTGACGTATTTAAGGATTTTATCTGTAGTTTAGATATGAAAGGATGGCGAATAATGAGGATATGGAAGCAAGAGGTCGTGGTAAGTGATTAACCGGTTACGAATGATAACCGGCAGTTCTGTATAATTCAGGCATGTGATCCTGTCGTTCATAATTACAAGGATTATTCACTTCTGCCTCAATTTTTTAATGGCAGGTTTTGTATAGGATACGTTAAGAATAATAAGTATTTTCCCGAATTTCTTCTGTTACTTTTTTTTCATTATGAGTAGATGATTTCTTATTGTCGTTCCCACATACGTTGCACCGTTTATAGATTGTATGAATACCAAACTTTGTTTTTGTATATCTGTTACTAAGTTGTACTTACTTTTAGACTGTATCTTGTTGATGTCACCCCTGAACCTGCTATCGGATTTATGTGTCGTATCCTAGCAACAAACTACTTGAGTTGTCGTGGTAACACCACACTAGCGTCATTTCGTACAGCTTTCAACTGTCATGATGTAAATGTTCTTTAACATTCGGTGTATGGTCACCACATGTAATCAGGATTAGAAGATGAATTGTTAGAAGGCATATAGGTATTTTCTTCACAGTAGGGCTTAAGATACGTAGGAAGCTAGGAAGTGAAGTATGCTCGTTGTGAACCAAAATTATTGCGTTTTCAGCGTTTCTGTTTAATCACAGCAGTCACAGACGTTCAGGTTTGCACGTATTCTTGTCGTGTCTTCTTATAAATATGTACCAGACTAGGAACATTTGAGCAACGCTATTATAATGGCAGTCGCGTCGTATGACCGTGAAATTTGACGGTAATGAACCTGTTTTATGTTAAACGGCAATAGAGTTTATTGCAGCATTATCTTGATTAAAAAGAATCTTCACGGCGTCTGAAGCCAGATTCCTACCAAACGTAGCAACACAGAAACGACCGCCGGACCTTACCATAGGCACCACCGTTGCTGATTTTGCATTTCTTGCTACCAGAGTGACATTCGTCAGAACCTGATTTCAGTCATTTCTCGCGCATCACTAACGGCGCACTTGTCCAGTGAAATTTGATGGTCATTCGGTGTTATATTCGGTATAGATTTTTCTGTTCCGGTATTTTTGCTGCTCAGATCTTGTTATTTAGTGCAAAAGATACCGGGTTTCTCGAAGTGAAACTTTCATCCCTGGAAACAGCAAGTGAGATGGGGCGAATCCGAAATACATTTTTAGTCGGAAGAAAAAATTAGTAAAAAAGGCATTAGAGACAACCACGTCACATGATCCGACTTTCTAGACAGAGTTATTTCCTGTCATAACAAGACATATAGAAGCTGTTTGATCAGAAGAGGCGGGGAAGTCTCGAATGAGAACGTATAACCAAAGAAGAGAAGAATGAGGTAATGCTGAGTAATAGAGGAATCGCGGACACAAAACAATACGATCAAGTTAAGGAACACTTCAGTGCGTCTGTTCTTTAGCTTGTCTGTAACTGTTTATTGCTTATTGATCTCCCAAACGTTCGCCAAGTGTTTTATTTGTATAAACTTTTTCGTAAGTAACCTCTCTTCGACTTAGAAGTTAGCCAGATTAATGTCGTCGGTTACCAGAATAACTTTCTGGCTGAGACGTTACGGTCATCGGCCCCGGAAACTGGAATCTAGGGTTCGAATCTTGCTACATGACCGCGTTTTCTATCCTGTAGTACGGCTGTCCTAAGAACGACGTTGATGTACACCATCATAAACCTGTCTTTGAAGTAATCTATCTTAATTTTTCAGATAGCAGACGTTTCAGAGGTGTCTCCGTTATCAATGCGATGATGATGGAGGCACGTGTTGCCTTGTTGAAGTTCTGATAGATACAAAAGAGATTCCTGTAGCAAAAGAAAGTACCTTTCGTTGTAGTGTGTGGCGATGGTTGGGTGACGAAGTGGTCATCACAGACTGAGGTCATCGCGTTGGCGGTCAGGGTGTGGCGACATTAGTCGATCAGAACACCTTGCTGACCTCAGGTGAATTACGAATACGTCACGCAGTTTGTCCGTTTTATCAAGTTTCGCAGATTTAATGAATGTGTAATACGTTTTATGTAATTAATTTTGAATGGATGCTAAGTATAAAAAAGGG